TTTTCTTTTCTTTTCTTTTCTTTTCTTTTCTTTTCTTTTCTTTTCTTTTCTTTTCTTTTCTTTTCTTTTCTTTTCTTTTCTTTTTTTCTTTTTTCTTTTCACTTTCTTGTCTCTCTTTTTGTTTTTCCTTTCTTTACTTCTCTTCTTTCTTTCTGTCCCTTTCTCTTTTTTTCATTTTCCTTTCTTTCTCTTTTTTCTTTTCCTTTCTTTTTTTTCTTCTTACATGAGATGAAAGGAATCGGAGTCCTGGGGAGTGGGGAGGTGCGGAGGGGAGGGTGGAAGGGAGCCTGGGTAGGTAGTGACGGGGTGGAGGGAGGGGATGCGACTTCACTCCACATTGCTGCTGTCAAAGGCGTGGCACTGAAGGTCTCCGCTCAGGTAGTCAGTCCCCGGCAGCTTCATGCCGTATTTGTCCACACACCAACACAACCCACGCTTCCGGCCTCGGGAGGGCTTGCACTGGGGAGACACCCAAGGGCAGAGATCAGGAGCTGGCTCCCTCACACTGGGGATCAGGATCAATCCTGGCCTTGCCCCTTTAACCCCAGCGATGAAATTCCCAGGGTAGGACCTAGTCCCTGCTCTCTGCTTTCAGCACATCCCCATCTCTGCTGCCACCCCAGCCCAGGGTTCTCTGACTTTTCCTCCTCCCTCACTAGCTCCTTCAGGATGCTTACTTCAGGCCAGATGGCACTTGGAGCCATCAGCAAGGCCACCCACTACCAAACGTGCCTGGTGATGCTCACAGCAACATCCCCACCAACCCAGCAGAGGAAAAACCTCCATCCTTCCCATCCAAGGCAGAGGCAGAGAAAAGCCTTGCTGGGTGGGGAACATCCCTCCTTCGTGGGGCTCTTACCTGCTTCCTCTTGTAGAAGCCCTTGCGGTCGCAGTTGGGGAGGTGGACAGCGCGGGGGACCATCCGCTGGCTGCTCTTTAGCTCCTGCAGAGATGCCTCCATGTGCCTGCGGCAGGGGCCCTGCAAGCAGGAGAAGATGGAGTGTGAGAAGGGGAGCACCCTCACAGCAAGCCTCCCGCTGCAAAAGCCCCCAGGTCCCCTCTCCTCTGCCACTGGCACCCACTCTCCAAGGGTAAAAGCCATCCTGCAGTCACCTGCCCATGGGAGCCCCATGGAGGGAAGGTGAAGGCACCCACCAGCTCAAACTCTTGCCGGAGCTCAGGGATGACGACACGTGGGTGCGCCGTGTTCTCGGCCATGCCCACAAACTTGGCCAGCGTCAGCTTCTTCCGGCGGTCCTTCTTCAGGGCTTCAGCCTTGAGCTCAGAGAGGCGCCCGTGCTTGGGCCGGTAGGCCTTGGGCGGGTAAGTCTCCTCTGTCATCTCTGATGTGGTCGGCTCCTCATGCTCTCGGGACTCTCGTTCTGGAAGAGACAGGTACCAAACTGTCAGGTCTCCATGGGCTGACTGGGGCTTGCTTTTGCACAGAGAGCCTTCTGCCCAATCCCAGAGGACTTCTTTGCACCAGGCAGACAGGATGAGGACAAATAACCAAAGAAATCCGTTTTCCTTTCCCTGTCTACAGCTCTGGCTTTATCTCACTGTGTGGGACTTTTTGAGGCTTTTGTATGACCTCTGAACTCAGGACAGGAAGGTGTCTAAGGACATGGAGGAGTTGGAGGTCTAGGATGGGCTTCGATATACAAGGGCTGTTACCGTTTGTGTGTATCAGTGGAAAAAGACTGGTGTGAGGGTCATCCCACACCCAGAAAGGGACAGATGACACATAAATGAGGCAGAGAAGCCCCTCTTTATCTGTGGTGGGAGGATTAAGTGACAAATTCAGACTCCACCCAGCCTTTCAGATGCAAGAGCAAAAGCCAGGAATGCTCGAAGATGAGACAACTCCAAAGTCAAGGTCAACAACACAGCAAAGCCACCACGTGACAAGGCAGGTACTTCAGCAGTGATACCAAAGATTCAGCTAACAAGTGCTGGGATCTCCAGGGTCCTCAGCTCACAGCCCCACACTCATGGGAAACCAGCCTCCATCTGATGGCATGCACCAAGCAGAGAACAAAGCCAAGGATAATGTTCCCAAGCAAAGCTGCCTGACTGTAGTTACCATTGATGGTAGTATTAGCAAAGGGGGAGCATGTTTAGGTTCTGTCCATGGCAGTTGTCTTCCTGCAGACCCCCTAGATCACCTCAGCGTAACCTCTGCCAGCAGGATGCAGTCAGGAGCCCCGTGCGGTTTATATTTAGGAGCAAGCTGGTGACAGTCTAAACTTAGATGACTTGTGACATTTAGTAGAGCCACCAGAGTGAAAAAGGGCTATTTCTGTACTAAATTTGAATAGAGTTTAAAGCTCCTGAGGTTCCCTGGTCTCCTGACCCCTGGTTCCGAGCAGTCCGGTGCTGATGCCAAGTCTGCTGGGACCAGCAAGTGACCATGAGGAAACTCACTGCAGTAGAAGGAAAAGCATCAGAGTGGCTGAAATCCCTTCCTGAACAGCATCTCCTGCAACTTTGATACCAGTGAACCCAGCTCATCCCCTCCTACAGGATGGAAAAAGCCTCAGGATTAAAATAAAAGCAGTTAGACCCCCTCCCAACCAGGCAAACAGCAATCTCCTTGCAGATGGACTGCTCCCTTGAGCCCAGATGCATCCCCAAGGGGGAGGAGGATGAAGAAGATGCCTCTGCCCTATTAGATTGCCTAGGGGTGGCCAGTGAGGGGGACAGAGGAGATGCTCAGTGGCAGATGGCAGCACCAGCCTGTCACACACACCCCAGCTGGGGGGTTTGGAGGTGACCAAGGGGAGAGGTCGCTGGGTCCCCAAGTCTGCCACAGATACCAGTCTCCTATTCTTCCTTGCTAAGGCGAACTTGCACTCTCCCATCAAAAACTGGAAAGTTTTTCATGGCCACTTATTCGTTAAAGCAGTCCTTTTTTTTCTGGTTCCACAAGAACAGTGCTGGATCAGCATCCCAGAATCAGCACCCTCCTAACTGCCCACAGCAACATAAGTGACCCCCTGCACCACCCCTGGGACTCACATGGCTCCCCAGCATGGGATCATTTTGCCATTTTTCCCCATGATGCTCATATGCTTGGTGTTTTATTCCTTGATGCAGGACTCAACTGCTTCCACAGGTCAGAGCTCCTTTATTCTAAGAGGGTGACAGACAAGGGATAGGGAAGAGATTGAGTAAATTTGGAATGACCCCCCGGGAAATGAAACTGTACAAGGTGCAGTTGAAGTCCATCCTTTGCCTCAAAGATATTGTGGCAACTCAAGGTCCAAAAGAAGACCAAAGACATCCACAGTGACTAAGTCCTTCCACGGCATTGAAACACACCGTGTCCCATCCCAGGAATCCCTTCTGGCACCCACTGCCAGGGCTAGAGAAGGCAAATCCAGGGCATCTCCCTGGGCTGCCCTACGATAATAAGGGGAGGGGAGGTTTCACATTGGTGCTGGCAACCCTGAAGTAGCACAAGAGGGGCACAGCTTATTACCTCTGCAAATAAATGAGGAACAGTTACCTGGGCAATCCTAGCAAATAAAAACAAATAACAAATGAAGGGTACCACGCAGTGAGAATTCAGTCAGAAAAACAGTATGGGGTGTCCAGTCCCCAGGACTCACTCTGCAATGGGTGTGATTCCTTTGCAGCAGCTCAGCCTGCTCATTTGGTCAGCAGCTTTAGCAGCAAACAAAATAAGGTAAAGGTGCAAACACCTTCTCTCTCCTCTCCCTGCAAGCTGTCAGCAAGCCAGAGTGAGCTGTGGAGCCCTTTCAGCAAGGGGAGATAGTAGCCACAGGAGCTGTGCAAGGGAGCTGAGGACTGGTGTGCACTGAAAGCTGCCCAGCTCCCAGCCCGAGTCCAGTGCTTCCTGCAGGGCTGAAAAAGCACCTGGAATTGACCCCCCCTTCACTCTCCCTGGCATGCATGTGTGCCCCTCAAGCAGCGATATGACAAGGGATGGCTGTGGTGGGACTCCTCCATCTGTCACTCAGCAGTGGTATCTGGTTTGGGTCTTTATATCCCAGTGAGTACCCCATATATGCCTTGAAGGGATCCCTTTCCTCCACCCTCTAATGTTTTTTATAGCCTAATTTCCTTCAGGAACAAGGCTGACGCAACCCCTTCTCATGCACCCGATGATCTGTTCCCTAATTTGATACTAACAAGCCAATTTTGTCAAACTGAAGGGCAGAAGTCTCTGACACAGAAACTCCTGACAAGCTCTAGGCAGCTGGTGAGAGACCTTCCTGGTGCCAAGAGGAGAGGGAAAGGCAGAGCCGGGACATGCATCACCCATGCAACTCCCCTGCTTCTCTTCCTGGCTGGCTCATCCACCTGAACCTGCAGCTGCCCACCGCAGCCAGGACCAGACACTCACATCAGCATCTCCAGAGCTCCTGTCTCCGCCAGCCCATCCTCACCCACCAGCTCATTCACTGACCCCTGACTGCCCCTGGGCTGGCTCATGGCAGGCAGCATTGGCACTGCTGTGCCTCCGCGCCTGAGGAGATGCCGGCAGGAGCAACGCCCAGTTTCCCCAAATGAGCCTTACTTGTGTCTGTCTGAGACTCTGGAGTTCCTCCTCCCTCGCTGTCAGGTTCTGGCCTGCCACACAACCCCTTCCCGCCTACTACCATCCGCCTTGCCAGCCTGGTGGCTGGGTTTCAGGCAGTCAGCTGTCTGCAGAGGCAGAGCACACTGCACAACCATGGGCACAAGGCATAGGCAGCAAGGCCCTACTCATGGTGTCCCCAGATGAGGGACAGTGGGAACCAGGAGGTGGGTGGCTCACACATCTCCACCCCTTCTCCCCACAACTCAGTAGAAGCTCACCTCTCAGCAGAGGTCCCAGGCTCGCTGGCCACACAGAAGAGTGACACTGCTGGCCAAACTGAGGATGCCTGGCTAGCATGGAGGTGACAGCTAGGCTGTAGCCACCTCAAAGGAATAAGGCCTACTCCTACAGCCAAGGCATGAGACTGAACTCAACTCAGAGCTACCCCATGGGTTCATGTCTGGTCTGATGCTGTGGTGCCCAGAGAAAGAGATGCAAACATCTGGAAAGGCTCCTGACCCTGGCCAGGCCAAAAGGACTGTGCTGTTGATGTCCTAATCCACGAGTCCTGGCAGGCAGAAAATACCCATAACAGAGCATGTGGGCTGTCCTCTGCCCTGGGCTGAGTGCATGGTGTTTTCTCCCCACTCCAGGCTAGCCAGAGGGAGCTATTTGCAACTCTTCTACTCTGCCCTCCAGAAGGGACAGGGAGTAGCAAAATACCAGGCACTGTTTCTCGGAAGCCGCAAATTACTCCTGTCTGGCAGCCTGCTGTCCCCACCAGATACCGTCCTGCCCCTGGACAAAAACCCAGCCTGGGTGCTTCTGGGCTTCAGACGCTTTGGACCCATGTGAGGTCCCCATAAGGTGGTGGGTGCATTCACATGGGGGAGAGAAGTGTGTGGGAACACTGCCTTCCTGCCTGCTGATGTTACCAAATGGCTGAGAGGCTTGAATTTTTGTAATGCATTTTCATCGGTTCCTGGCAGAAGGGTAGGAAAAGGATCTATTGACCACTGCTGCTAATGATCCTTGTTTGCTACAGCCACAGTCCACTGCTAGAGGACTTGCTGTCCTGTTCAACACCCCCCCACCAAAATCCACATCCACCTAAGAAGGACATGCACAACCACAGCACAACTCTGCTAAACAGCCTTATTGATTATTATCATGATCATTATTATTTACAGCATAGGCACTAACATACACCACTTAATAAGGAAGGTGTTGGAGAAAGACTTAATGGGGATCTCAGTTAAATCTCTAGCATAGGAACGACACAAATGTGAAGTTGTCCAGTCCTCCCTCTGCCCCCAAACAGCCATCTCTGTTCAGAGCTGCTCATTACATATGGGTCTTATACAGGAAATCTGTGCTCAGGTACCTGGCTGGTAAAAACCCTCACTGAGGATTTCCTCCAGCTGCCCTCCCCACTTGTCCCCACTCCAGAGGAAGGGATATGTTTGACCTACACCAGAATTTCCTAGGATGGGCAGGCAAGTTCCTACTTGTCCTGGACTTGCACCTGTGACCATGAGGGGAAGACAAAAATTCCTCCTTCCTGGTCATCACAGAAGGACAGCCACTGTGTTTGCATTCTCAAAATATAGGCAGGGAAGGGATAACGCAGACAGGGAAGGGATGTAAAGCAAGGAGTGTCATCTCATCTCTCGCCCTTTGGCAGCTGGAAAGCACATCTGAGCAAAAGCATTCCTGAACTCCCCAGAGGCCACCAGTCAGCCCAGGCAAAAGGGAGCTTCCACCCGCCTAATGAAGCACAGCTCGTTTACATTCCGGTCGCAGGCACAACCCCCAGCCCCGCACACAACTCCGCAG